AAAAAAAAAAAAAAAAAAGTAGTAAAGAGAACACTGAAGAATATACGTTTAATTAACTTGATTGTGGGAGTCATTTCACAATATACTCATATATCAAATCATCACGTTGTACACTTTAAATATATTATAATTTTATCGGTTATACCTCAGTAAAGCTGGAATACTTTTCAAGAAAAAGGAAGAATAGCAGATATAAGAAGCAGAGAACTATCACCTTGGGCTGACAGAGAACACTAATGGAAAAGGTTGAGATTTAGACCCTGTTGTAGAGGGCAGGACTGTGGCTTACTAAAGACAGAGAAGTCATTTGGATGCCACTTTGGCAGAACTGGCCAGATACCTGCCCTCTAGGGTGCAGGGGAAGCTGTTCACAGGGAGGTATCTCACCAGAGGCACTCTGCAACAAAAATACCGGGAATGGTTCCAAAGATCTGCTATATAACATGGTGCCTATACTTAATAATGACATAATCGTGTACTTAAAAAGTTTGTTAGAAGGGTAAATATCATGTTAAGTGTTCTTATCTCGTGCACACACACACACACACACACACACAAACACAGCCACACACACAAACACACCCACACACAAAGGAACTTTTGGAAGTGTTTATTACCTTAATCATAGTGACGGTAACACAAGTGTATACATATATCCCAACTTACCAAATTATATACATTAATTATTTGCCATTTTTATGTACCAATTTTATCTTAATAAGACTAGGGAAAATTGGGCCTGGGGGGATGGTGTGCCAGAGAAGCCACCTGTGCTGCAGGATTTGGGCACTGGGGAAGCTGTGTGTGCTATATAGTGCTTACCATGCTACGTGAACTAGGAGCAAAACCTAGTTTCTGCAGTGTCTCTCCTGCACCCTCTACTGATAAAGCTTAACATTATGCCAGCTGGAAAGGAAAAATATTTAAAGGCCTCAGATCCAATTTTGGAGAACATGCAAGGAAGGATGAATTGGAGCTGAGAGTTGCCAGTTGATAACTGGCAAGAAAGGTAAAAAGAAAATAGATGACTAAAACCATCCAGCATAGTTGAAGATGATTACCAAGAACCAGAAGAGCTAATAAGTTAGATTATTGTTGAAATAGTCAAAGCAATAAAACATTTATATGATTTCTGAATTCAATCACTCTGAAACAAAAATCTCAAAATGGGTATATTTAATGGACAATTAATGTAATTTTCAAGTAGTACTGACCGCATGATTTTTCCCTTGTGTATCAACTTCGGAATCTCAACCGTACATAAAATGTAATTCCCCTGAAAGTATAAGAACCAAGAATTGGTTCAGGTTGCTCTGATACTTTTTCTTTTATGTCTGTTGCTTCTCAGGAAATGAACCCATTATTGATAAGTATGATAGAATCTCCTTTTAAAGCATCTACCTAAATTGTGGCATATCTAGTTACAGCTAGTTTTGTAGATAACATCTGCTTCTTCATCTTTGTTTTATTTTTCTGGAACTTCAGAACATGTCTCAAGGCACTAATCTTGGTAGTTTGGCTAACTTCAATAAGAATAAATTTCTCCTTGTAGTAGATGATCAGTAACCACCTTTTACCTGGATGAAATACACTTTTGCTAAGCTTAGATGCAGTATGGAGTTGCTTTGTTTCAGACCTTGTCCACCTTCATCACAGAACCCCTGCAACTAGGTTACTGAGTATTTTAGGGAGACCTGGACTTAGATAATCTTCTGTAGCATCCGTTTATTTTATTATAGTTGTTACCAACCAAAAGTTTTAACTTTAACTCCAAAGGAATATTTTTAAACTATTTTTTTTCACTTATAAAGTTGGGGGCCTCCTTGTATGCCATTCAGATTATCTGCAGGTGCTACAGCTACCCTATTCACATCTGTTTTATGAGATTAAAAAAAAATTTTTTTAATGTTTATTCATTTTTGAGAGACACAGAGTACAAGCAGAGGAAGGCAGAGAGAGAGGGAGACACAGAATCTGAAGCAGGCTCCAGGCTCCGAGCTGTCAGCACGGAGCCTGATGCGGGGCTCGAACCATGAACTGAGAGATCATGACCAGAGCCTAAGTCGGACGCTTAACTGACTGAGCCACCCAGGTGCCCTGTTTTATGAGATTTTTAAGATTAATTTCTTCTGAGGGGCACCTGGGTGGTTCAGTCAGTTAGGCATCTGACTCTTGGCTTCTCCTCAGGTCATGATCTCACAGTTTCATGAGTTTGAGCCCTGTGTTGGGCTCTGTGCTGGTGGTGTGGAGCCTGCTTGGGATTTCTGTCTCTGCCCCTTCCCAACTCATGCTGTCTCTATCTCTCTCAAAATAAATAAATAAACTTTAACAAAAAGATTAATTCATAGCATTTACTTTTTCCATTCTAAATACTTTGGAGATCATATTCGGAAGGCTGTGTTTCCTATATCCACATCTGCTCTATTTGGCTAACACTGTATGGGTGCTTGAGGTATATAATAACACCCAGCAACACAAAACTGTCTTTTGAAGTTAACTGACTCAGCCACTCCCAGAAGACAGTAGAGCCAGTGGTCTCTGAAAACATACCATACCTACCTATTGCTGTAGCAAAGAGGGCCTATATGCAAATTAAACCCAGATTCCTACTTCAGTTCTCATTTTCAGAGCTTTAAGGTTTGACTTTGTTAACCGATCCACTCAATTAAAAACGAAGACAGAAGTCAATAAAAATTAGCTCTGAACATCTTTCTAGTTTCTCAGAACATTGTACTTACATTTATGTTCATATTTCAAGCAACTTACTTGACAAATCATAAGTAACAATTAACCTTTGGATAGCATTTATACTTTTCAAAGTAGTTTTCATTCACTGTTTCAGTTAATCTCGAATAGTAAATTATGTGTGTGTGTGTATGTATATATATATATATATATACATACACACACATATATATTTAGTAAATCATATTCTTATCTCCATCTTATAGATATAACTGCCTGAGAGATTAAATAACTAATTCAAGTCCACATAATAAAAAATAAAGTAGGGCTGCAATTCATCTTGTGACTCTAAACTTTACTACATTAGAATGCTTAATAAAATTGTTTTCTGTTTTATAGTTGGGGAAATTTAGGCATAGAGCACTTAAATTATTTGTCCAGAGTTTCAAGCTTACATTTAAAATAAAGGTATATGAAAATCAGAAAACTTGGGTTCTTGGTCCTGTTTATTAGAAGAGCTAAATGTGTGGCTACATGAATAGATACGGGGGGTGGGGGCGGGGGCATGCTAAGAGATTGACATAGGTATATTTTCAAGATGGCCCAGTAGACCTTTACAGTCTTAGCACTGTTAGTTGCAGACTAAACAAAGGAATTAGGAAAGGAAATGATTTTTAGTGTTGTCAGAGAGCATTCCCAGCTTTGTTTCCTTCTCTTTGCAGGGATGTTGGCAATGTGGTTGAAGCTATGTATGGGGACCTCCCTCCTCCAATTATGCTGATTGGACATAGTATGGGTGGAGCTATTGCAGTCCACACAGCATCATCTAACCTAGTGCCAAGCCTCCTGGGTCTCTGTATGATCGATGTTGTAGAAGGTAAGTTTTCTTAGTACTGACTAAATCAAAATCTTTGATTTATAAGAGATCCATGGTAGATTATTATTACCTTATTTTAATTTATTGATCTCTACTCATCTTGAACTATGTCCCTCTGTCTTTATATCATTTTTTCTGTTACTTTGTGGCAAAGGCATTCTGAGTATTTTTTAATTGACATACAAATTTTATTAGTTTCAGTTGTATGACATAATGATTCAATATGTGTATATATTATGAAATGGTCACCACAGTATGTGTAGTTAACATCCATCACCACACATAATAAATTATTTTTCTTGTGATGAGCACTTTTAAGATCTACTGTCTTAGCAACTTTCAAATACACAATATATATTATTAACTGTAGTCACTATACTGTACATTATATCCTGAAGACTTTTTTATTTTATAACTGGAAGTTTGTACCTTTTGACACCTTCACCCATTGCACCCGTACCCTATATTATATGGTCATTTCCCATGTCATTGAAAACTCTTTGTAAATATCTTTTAGGGCTACATAATGTTTCAATTGTATGTATGTCCCATAATTATATTTAATGTTAAAAAGAAGCTGCCATGTCTTTTATGACCCAGCCTCAGAAGTCATACGATTGCTTATACAAGTCAGCCCCTATTCAGTATAAGACTACACAAGGGAGTGAATATCAAGAGGCAAAAATCACTGGAGGCCATCTTCGAAACTTGCTATCACATCAATCTCTGAATTTTTTTAAGCTGCATCTTTTTTCCCCAAAACATCACTGAATTCTACCATCATTGAGGGCAGATATACACAATTGGCCCAGTAAATGTAAATGCTTAAAATATGTTAAGTGCTGTGGTTAAAGTATTTGTTTAACATCTAGGTACAGCCATGGATGCACTTAATAGCATGCAGAATTTCTTACGTGGTCGTCCTAAAACCTTCAAGTCTCTAGAGAATGCCATTGAATGGAGGTAACCCACAAATCTATATTGTCTATATTTTGAATGTTAGATTCTAACTGTCCTTTTTCATCAGCTCAGGCACCAAGTTCAAAAGAATAGTTCAGTTTCCAAGCCTTATCTTTATTATAATATCACGTGTGGAAACATTTATGTAAAGTGCAGAATTATTTTTAATATTTTAAATGTTTCACACTTGGCCCAGTTGTCTAAAATCCATCCTTTTTCTAATACACTATAGTACCTCCTACAATTTTAATAATTATGGATTATCTCCTGTCTAGCTATCTCCATTTCTGAGGTAGGAGTTTGGACTAAATGAGACTCTAAGGCCTTTTCTACTTCTGATGCTTCATGTTCTGGATTCACTTTCTGTGTTCCAGAGAAAATGGTGGAGAAACAGAGGATGGGCATAGGTTCCTTTCTCAGTTTTTATTTGGGTTTGGGTAAATAAAAACCCTTTGGGTAAATAGTTTTCAAAAAAATCACTGAATTGGCTATGACTTCCACTAAAGTAAAGGCTGTTTTGTCATTAATTTATTCATTAATTCAGTTATTTGATTAAATACTTATTAAACACTTTGTGCTAAAGGGTGAAATTTCAGAAATGAGTAAAACACTGCCCCTCCCCCAAGGAAATCAATCTTAGGATAAAAAACTTTAGTATCCTCTCTTCCTACCTCTTCTTCAAAATCCATCTCTAGTTCCTTTCCCAGAACCCTTCTCTAACTCCTCCAAACCACTCAGATTACTCCCTCAGTTAAATTACTAAAGACCTCTGTCTATATTGTACTGTTTACCTCTTAAGTCTCCCCGAAAGGATATGCTTATATTGTTAATTTTCATTCCTGTCTTAAGATTCTTCCTACATCATAAGGGCAGAAGTTATCCTCTATTTCTTTTATAGCATATATAGCATACAGCATACTGCTGGCTGCCTTGGCAGGCAGAACATATCTGTTCATTGAATCAAAGAGATCAGCTGGAAATTAAGGACCTGGTAAATGTATCTGAGGTAGTTTTTCTAAGACAGAAGGTCTCATGCCAAATATGGCTTGCCAAAATGATGTTTGTGTTTGGTGAGGTTGCTTCTATCTCTCCTTGCTCACACTACTGAGGTGCAGGATTCCTGTTCCCTCATCAACACCAAAGATCTCTCCATCTTTGGCAGCCACAGCATTTCAGAATGAAATTGCTGCCAGTTCAGCATGTATCTGAGGCACCCTGCCTTCTTCCCCAGGAGCAAACAGTGAGAAAATTATTCCAAATAACTTTTTTTTTAATTTTAAAAAAAAATGTTTATTTATTTTGAGAGAGGGAGAATGAGCCAGCATGGGGAGGGGCAGAGAGAGAGGGAGAGAATTCCAAGCAGGCTGCACACTATCAGCACAAAGACTGATGTGGGGCTTGGTCTCACAGACCATGAGATTGAACCATGAGATCAAGAGTCAGACACTTAACTGCCTGAGCCCTCCAGGGACCACCCACCAAATAACTTTTTAAATTTATTCAGTAAACTTTGGTTTTTTAGTCCCTAAGATGTGTTACTACCTGATTAAGAACTTAGGACTTAGTTCCTATCATCCAAAAACTGGGAATACAAACAAGTAAATATTTAAACACAGTACAGTGAAGGAAGCACAAAGTTATAGAAGATAGGTACTTAATCCAGCATGAGGGTATTGGTGGATCTTTTCTTAAAAGAGAAAAGGTGGCTCAGTTGGTTAAGCCTCCGATTTTTTATTTCAACTTAGATCATGATCTCACAGTTTGTGAGTTCAAGCCCCATGTCAGGTTCTGTGCTGACAGCTTGGAGCCTGCTTGGGATTCTCTCTGTTCCTCTCCCTCTGCCCCTTCCTCGCTCGTGCACTCTCTTTCTCTCAAGATAAATAAACTTTAAAAAGAGATAGAGTCTTGATTCTAGTGGCAGATTTGGGATAGGATGAGGGTTCTGTTTGTTGTATGTTAAAATGTTCTGCGTTGTATAAGAGCCACTGATTTTTAGATCCCACTTCTTGAACCTGAGAATCAGAAAGAATACTATGAAGTATTTCATAATTTTGTACTCGGCTGGATATCTGAATCAAGTTTATGACTCATAGTTATTGTGGATATTCCAGGTTTTAAAAAAGATGTTGAAATACAAAGCCAACCTGTTTAATTCAGTAAAGATTTAAATCAAAGTGAATTCCCACTTCTGCTTTCTTGGTCATCCTAATGAGAGACAGTAGGTCATAGTCATTAGAAGCCTAGGCTTTAAAAGTTGGACAGATAAGGATTTACACTTTGGTTTCATCACTCTGGCTGCTCTGAGGAAAACACTAGGGGAAGGGAAAGGGATGGGTGTGATAATGGAAGTGGGAAATTGATTAGTAGTATAGGAGAGTAATGATGGTAAGCATAGACTAGGATGACAACAGAGGAAGTAATGTCATATTTGGAATGTATTTTGAAGATACAACTGACAGGAATGCCTTACAGATCGGATGTCAGGAGAGAAATGAGGGGTGGGGGTAGGAGGAGGCACAGCATTCAAGGATAACTTTTAGATTTTTAGTCCAAGCAATCAGGTGAATGGTGGAGACAAAGAGAAGTAGATTTGGGAGCAGGTAAAGGGTCAGGGAATCAGGATTTTTGTTTGGATAAACTGAAATGGTTATTATACCTCTAAGCAGAAATGTCAAGTAGTTACTGGTCTATACTAGTTAGAAGAGGCTGAGTTAGAGATAAATTGGAGAATCATTATTACATAGATAATATTGAAAGCCAAAAGATTGAATGCAGTCATCTAGGGATTTGATATTATAGAAAAATTCCAAGAACTGAGCCTTGGGAAACTCCACAATATTTAGAGCTTGGGAAGAAGAGAAAGATCCAACAAAGGAAACTGAAAAGTCACAGTTGGTGAGATAGAAGGAAAACTTAAAGGAGTATAGCAAGTGTTTATAGAAGGAGGGAGAGAGCATCTGTGTCACATGCTGAGAGATCAGTTAAGATGAGGACTAAAAAATGACCATTAAAATTGACCTGAGGGGCACCTGGGTGGCTCAGTCGGTTGAGCGTCCGACTTCAACTCAGGTCATGATCTCGCAGTTTGTTAGTTCGAGCCCCACGTTGGGCTCTGTACTGACAGCTCAGAGCCTGGAGCCTGTTTCAGATTCTGTGTCTCCCTCTCTCTCTGCCCCTGCCCAGCTCATGCTCTGTCTCTCTCTCTCTGTCAAAAATAAACATTAAAAAAAAAATTTTTTTTTAATTGGCATGAGTAAAGGTGACCTTGACAAAGACAATCACAGAAAATAAGTAGGCAATAACCCCCCCTCCAAATATATGTTTGAGGATATTAGTTGGGGAAAGGATAGGAGATGACAAAATGGAGAAAGCAAGTAAGATAACTTATTTTTTAGGATAACTTTTGGGAAGTTTTGTTGTCTAGAAGAGCAGAAAAATGGGATGGTATCTAGTAGTGAATGTGGGGTTGAGAATGTTTTTAAAAGATGTTTTATAATATCCGCTAGAGAAAAAAAAATGATGACACATAGGATAATAATTTATAGCAAGAAGAGATGCAAACCAGTTCCTAAGGTTGGCCTTGAGTAGGGACAGAGGTGTTTCATATATTAAACAGTCATCAAGGGAGAGTATGTGATTTATAAATACTGGTAGATTTGTAGATTCTGTAGGTTGAGTTGGTGGATGGAAAATTCAGTTGGTAGATCTGTTGGTGGATAGAAAAATGAATAGTTCTGATCACATCTATCATTAAAATAGGAAGCAAGGTCTTTATCTAAAGGCGTTGCCCTTTAAAATTTTACATGATTTTTTAAGCTAAAAAATTAGATTTAAAAAAATGCATTCCAGGGGCGCCTGGGTGGCGCAGTTGGTTAAGCGTCCGACTTCAGCCAGGTCACGATCTCGTGGTCCGTGAGTTCGAGCCCCGCATCAGGCTCTGGGCTGATGGCTCGGGGCCTGGAGCCTGTTTCGGATTCTGTGTCTCCCTCTCTCTCTGCCCCTCCCCCGTTCATGCTCTGTCTCTCTCTGTCCCAAAAATAAATAAAAAACGTTGAAAAAAAATTTTTTTTTAAAAATGCATTCTGATTGCCTGCTTCAGGTAGTGTTTCCAGTTCCCCCTGGGACATGAAGCTGCTTTGCTTGGCCCTTAGTCATATGTAGGTAGATAACTGAGAGGCCTAATCTATTAAAATAGTATCTAAGCTTCTGAATTCTATATCATAGCATGCAAGGCCCTCTAAGAACTCATCTCTGCCCACCTATCCCTTTCTCCTATTCACACTCCTCCTTTCCTTTCCCGTGCTTCTCCTTGCACTCTGTCCTCATCCTACTGACTTTTCCACATCACAGTCCCTTTGTTCACAATGTGCCCTCTGTCTGTAATGCTCTGCCCATCCCCCCCCCTTTTTTTAGAGAGAGAGAGAGAGCGTGCAAGCTTGAGCTGGGGAAAGGGGGAGAAGGAGAAAGAGAATCTTAAGCAGGCTCCATGCTCAGCGCAGAGCCTAACACAGGGCTCTATCCTATGACCCTGAGATCACGACCTGAGCCAAAACCAAGAGCCGGACACTGAACCAACGGAGCCACCCAGGCTCCTGTTTTTAAATTTTGAGAGAGAGAGAGCGTGAGACCATCCTCTTTTATCTTCCACCGAACTTCTTTTCTCCTCAGTTTAGGCAGGACATTTTGGGGAGCTTTCTTTAATGTCTTCATTCAGAATCAAGTGATTCCTTTGAACCTTGCCTTTGTTATACTGAAACTATCTGTGTTTCTTTTCCCCCCTGAATTAGGTGCTTCTTGAACATAGGCCTGGCACATAGTATCCTCCTGGTAAATATTTGCAGAACTGAAATGACTTGAATGTCTTTAACCTAATTTTTACTACTTGGCTTATAGCCATAATAACCAGGTAGGAAGTAGTGGTTATCTCCATAGTAAGCTATATTGGCAAACACAACTTTGTAGTAGGTTCCACAGAATCTGCAGAATTATTCGTTTGACCCTAGTGACGTGATAAAATGGTTGCTGAATAACCTCTTTCCCTTCTCACTTTTCTAGTGTGAAGAGTGGTCAGATTCGAAATTTGGAGTCGGCCCGTGTCTCCATGGTTGGCCAAGTCAAACAGTAGGTCTTATTTTTTCCCTATTGGGCTCTTTAGAGACTAAAACATGGTGAGAGAATTACAGATTGCTTTTTGTTATACACCTGTCCTACCATCCTGAATGCCTTTATTATTTTAGATAGTTTTGACAAATGAGCTCAGCTGGGCTAGCGGCATAGCTTTTCTTTCTTTACTTTTTTTTTTTTTTTTTTTTTTTTTTTTTTTTGAAGAAATCCCAAAGCCTATATGATACAGGACTGCCATATTAATGTAACTCTGGGTGTTAAAAGGTGAAAAATCCCAGAGAATGGATATTAAAAATTAAGTGTCCATTCTAGTGCTAGAAGTGATCATTTTATTCTGGTAATAATCTCCTTCTTAGCCAAACCTGATTGTGAAGAAATTACAGTATAAAAGCTTTAGCATAACCTGAGTGAAAGCCAGATTCTAAGGCTAAGCTAAGAATATTTAGCCCAGTTGATCTTCTTGGATAGGGTTACATGAGTCCTGGGTATTGCTATGTAGTCAGAAAATGAACTTTAGATGAATTGAGAAAATGTTGCCCAAGGGAACAACAGGGAGCACAGGAGTTGATGAAAATGATAATGGTATTTTTGAATGCCTGCTATTTGCGGGGTACAAGGTATTTTATATACACCTTCTCATTTTTAAGACCTTACCTTATGCAAATTTTCAAATATATAAAAGTAGAATAATACAGTGAACCCCAATGTACACAACGCCTATTTCAACAGTTACTCATGGCCAGTCTTTTTTCATCTGTGCCCCTATTTATTTACCCTAAGCACAACATTTTTTGAAATATATTCCAGCGGTAAGGACACTTTAAACACAATCACAGTACCATTATCACACCTAAAAAAATAAATAGTTCCTTAATATCATCAAATGTCTATTCAGTATTCATGTTTCTGATTGTCTCACAAATAATTTTCTTATAGTTCAAGTCAGAATTACAATAAAGTGATATATATCAATTGACTATATCTCTTAAGTATCTTTTAATTTAGTTTCCACTTTTGTCTCATTTTTTTTCCTTGCGATTTATTTGTTGAAGAAACCTGGTTGTTTGCCCTGTAGAATTTTCCACAATCTGGATTTGCTGATTGATTCCTGAAGGTGTAATTTAATATGTTCTCTCTTCCCTGTATTATTATTTTTTTAATTTTTTTTTTTTTTTTATTTCAAGAGAGATAGCAAGTGGGGGAAGGACAGAGAGAGAGAGAGAGACAGAATCCCAAGCAGTCCCGCACTGTCAGCACAGAGCCCTATGAGGGTCTCAAAAACCATGAGATCATGTTCTGAGCCGAAATCAAATTAAGAGTCAGACCCCAGAGTCAGATGTTTAACCAATTGAGCCACCCAGGCACCCCAAGTTTTTGGTTTTTGGGTTTGTTGTTTGTTTGTGGTTTTTGTTTTTTTTTGTGTGCCCTGTACTGTTTGTAAATTGTTAGTTAGATCCAGAGATTTGGTCAGGTTCAGCTTTATTTATTGTTATTTTGGCTTTTTGTTTGTGAGAATATATACTGCCAATAGGAAGCATGTAATGTCTGGTTATCTCCTTTTTTTGAGTGTTGGTAACCATTGATGACCATTATGTGGATTCAGTAACTCATTTGCACTACCTCATTTAGTCTTTACAGTACCTCTTTAAGATAAGTATTGTTTTATAGATGAGAAAATAGAAGTTCAGAAAGGTAAAGTAGTTTTCCCCGGATCACACAGCTAGTGAATAACAGCTCAAATTCAGTCTCCTGTGTATTTGACTTCAAGCCCTATATTATGGATTTTATGCCTAAAAATGCAATTTGAGTAGTAATATCTGACAGACACATGCAGTATTCAAATAAGCTGTGAGACTGCCCACTTTTTAATGCCTAAATATTTTAAGATCTGACTTGTTTAAGTAGTGATGAAGCATTTCATGAGGAAGTTATATGGCTTGTGTTCAGGTAGTTCAGTGATTGTAAAATTTTACTTAATATATAAATTTAAGTGTTTTCTCTTAATATGTAAACTTGTGTATATAGTGTATGTTTTAATTGTCACATAGATATCAGATGGAACCTTCCTGCCCTTCTTGATCTATGTGAAATTCCCTTGAACCTCCTAATCCATAGCTGTGGAAATGTAAAGTACATATTGTTTCTTTGTTATACTACTTTGACCCTAGATGTGAAATTTGACACCTCAAGTCCCATAGAAAACCCCCCCACTTGACAAAATATTTTATGAACATACACTTTACTGAGATTGGTAGAGGAGACAGGGAAGGACAAGTGATAACTGTTAAGAATCCACCACTGAAGTTTCAGTGGCCCTTCAGTTTATCCACCTCTTTTTATCTCATTGTCTCTTCTCTTCTCCCTTCACTCTCCCTATCAAGTACAAAATAACAGATTCTTCTTTATCATGCAGAACAGACCTTAGCACTAGCTGCTACCTAGGCTCTTAGGATTTTTACCTTTAATATTGTCAGTGTACTTTTTCCAACAAGTTCTTTCTAAAAGGAATTATGGTACCAGCTGGTCATATAATAATAATTTTTCTACCTAATTATATAACAGACATTGTTTTTTAGAGGAAAAACAACAGTAATTGGTTGGATCATATGTTCTAATCTCCAAGGTTCAGCTGCCCATGGTTATTGTAATTGCCAGTTTCTATTAGCCAATTAAAAGTGGGGGCCTTTTACCATTCTGTTTGAGACTTGTTCTATTGTAAACAGGGTACAATAGAAAAGTACCATGCTGTCATGTTAATTGGGTCTGGATTTGCCTCCCAGCCTCATGTACTAATGAGCCAGGTGATCTTGGACAATTTTTTTTTTTTTTAACTTTTCAGGGCTACCTCATAGGATTGTTATGAGAATTATATAAGATAATACCAGTAAAACTGTTGCCACCATGACTCAAGGAATGGTTACTCCCTTCTGTGGGTCAGTATTGGTGCAAGAACTGGAAACCAGCCCTCAGAGTATAGTCCTACATTGGCCATGACCTTCCATAGCCCTGGCCTACTTCTATACATTTTAAAATGCACATGTTTCACATCCTCCTTCTCCCAGAAGCATGGTCAATTTTAACTGACATTTGATTGTAAAAGACCATAAGTATCAGTATCTCTGAGATAATTTGTATATAATAGAGAGATATATGATAACACTTTCTAAAAAAAAAAACCTAGGTGTGAAGGAATTACAAGTCCAGAAGGCTCAAAATCTATAGTGGAAGGAATCATAGAGGAAGAAGAAGAAGACGAAGAAGGAAGTGAGTCAGTAAACAAGAGGAAAAAGGAGGATGACATGGAGGTGAGTGAAAGCCGGCATTCTTGGAAGGATGGAATATGGAATGGTTCAGAGTGTGTGGGGGTAGGGAAGGGGAGGTGACGTGTCCTTTTTTGCCATTGGATATTTTAGGGGGCAAAGATGTTATAGATATTTAGGTTAACTATAGGATATAAGGCACCGTTGATAGCTCTGACAAATTGGAACATAAAACTTCACAGTATATACCCTCCCCTCAAACAGCTTGCTTTCTCATCAGGCTCTTTCTCACCTCATTACTTCTGTTCCTGAGGTTTATCTCATGAGACAATCTCATTTCCTACTAGTCTATGCTAAGCCCATTAGATCTTACTTATCTTTCAAGGTATATCTCTTAAGGGATGTTTTCTGACCTCATTTTATATCAGTCCCTCTCCAGTATAGCACTGAGAGTCTGTATGACATAACTTAGCACTCTTTTTTGAAGTCATGGCTGAGTTATAGAATTGTTTTTCATAAACCACATTCAGAGATACTATGGTCTCTTATAGTCATCTCTAGAATGCATAATCAATGTCCTCTAATTTCACGAGAATTTGTCTCCCAACAAAAATAACCTGTGTATTTTAAGCACAGGATCTGATGTTCTATACGAATTTCCTTATTATTTAGCTTGGAGTTGTGTGCATAGCAAATGTCCTGTCAGTACTTGTTGAGCACTTGATTTGAGGATAATAGTGGGAAAGAGTACTTTTTTTCTTGGAAATGGTTGGTGAGCATGAGCAGCAGACTTTCTGGGATGGATTATAAACATTTTACTAATGGCAAATAATGGAATTGGTATACACCACATATTCCTTTACATTTGGAGATCCTACTGTTAGCAAGGAGGAGAGTACATTGACCCTTGAACAACATGGGAGTTAGGGACACTGACCCCCACACTGTCAAATCCAAGTATAACTACTAACTACCCAAAAACTTAATTACCAATAACCTACTATTAACCAGAAGCCTTACCAATAATATAAACAGTTAATTAGTACATAATTTGTATATTTATATGTATCAAATACTGTATTCTTACAATAAAGTAAGCTAGACAAAAGAAAATGTTATTAAGAAAATCATGAAGAAGAAAAAATACATTTACAGTACTGTACTGTTTTCAGTGAAAAAAATCTGCGTATAAGTGGACCTGCGCAGTCCAAACCTATATTGTTGAAGCATCAACTGTATGTTCATCAAACAGTATTTTTAATTTAATGAGGTTCTTTCTGTCATCCTTAAGATCAATAAATAATTTGTTGTACCTCTTTGGAGTTTACAAAAACATAAATAATGCATGACTAATTTGCCTTCCCTACACTGTGTGAGGTGAGGGGAGATCTTTTCTCTCATGTTAACAGTTAGAAACTGAGACTCAGAGGGGCGCCTGTGTGGCTCAGTCGGTTAAGCGGCCGACTTAGCTCAGGTCATGATCTCGCGGTCCGTGAGTTCGAGCCCCGGGTCGGGCTCTGTGCTGACAGCTCAGAGCCTGGAGCCTGTTTCAGATTCTGTGTTTCCCTCTCTCTGACCCTCCCCCGTTCATGCTCTGTCTCTCTCTGTCTCAAAAATAAATAAACGTTAAAAAAAAAATTAAAAAAAAAAAAAAAAAAAAAAGGAAACTGAGACTCAGAGATGAAGAGACTTGCCCAAGGTAATCGAGTAATATTTAGTAGATTTGAGACTCTGATACAAACTGCCAATTACTTTTTGTCTTTTATGTGCTGCAAGCTATACTAAGTGCATCACATTTATCGTCCCGAGTTCTCGTTTTAGCTCTGCATTATAGATATTATCACTGTTTTTTATAAGTCAGGTACAGATACTTGCCTACAGTCACATATAAATGTTAGCACTAAAACACATCCAGATCCTCTGATTTTTAACTCTAGCTCATTTTTTCTTTGCAGTTTTTTATAAGCCCAGTTATATGCAGTTTAATAAACTCCAGCAGTTTTATTAGGAGGGCAGACTGAGACACATGAGGCAATAAGAAGTATAGCTAAAACAATCTACACTTGAGGAAGGACACAAACCCCAAACAACAGAAACTGCTTATTGCAACTAGTAGATCTATAGATCCTGGAGATCTAATGCACAGCATAATAATTATAGGCAACAATACTATTATAAGTTGCTGAGACTAGGTCTTAATTGTTCCCAGCACAAAAAAGAAATGATAATGTGACATGATAGAGCTGTTAGCTGTCACTGTGGTGTTACAGTATAGCAATATATAAATGTATCAGATCAACACATTGTACACCTTAAACCTACAAAATGTTATATGTCAATTATATCTCAATAAAGAAAAATAAATAAAATGATGGAGAAAATGTTAATAATGCAAATTAAACTTAATGACTACAACAGAAACCGTCACTTTTTTTTTAATATGAAATTTATTGTCAAATTGGTTTCCATACAACATCCAGTGCTCATCCCAACAGGTGCCCTCCTCAGTGCTCATCACCCACCCTCCCCTCCCTCCCACACCCCATCGATCCTCAGTTTGTTCTCAGTTTTTAAGAGTCTCTTATGGTTTGC